TCTGAAGCTACCCATGTGAAGAGTTGAATGTTAACGCTGTATCTTTCTCTCTCTTGCTGTCTTGCTGTGTTAGTGCTGTGATCTGGGGTACCATGCCAGTCTAAACAGAGCTCTGAGAACATTCCTGTCTGCTGAATACAACCTGGAGACATCCAGGCACGAGGGCCTGGACATCATTGAGAATGCTGTTGATAATTTGGATCCTCGGAGCGACAAGCAGCGATTTATGGAGATGTACCACACAGCATTCTGTCCACCGGTGAAATTTGACTTCCAGCCACATATGGGAGATGAGGTAGGCCAAGAACACTGATCTCTCTTACAGCAAATAGTATCTCTCTCTGCTTGCCTGTGAACAGCGTAGCCATGAAACCAAAATGCACTTGATTGGAGTCTTGTTGAGTAGGCATCAGATAATGTACAAGGTGAAGGTGAGGGGCTTGTGTGGTGCAGTTGTCATGTCCCTTCCTCTCAGCTGAGAGGTCAGGGTTCAAACGCCACCTACTCCAGAGGTGTATCATAATATTCCTGAACAGGTTGATTAGGAAAATATCTTCCACTGAGGTGCAAACAGCTCTTGTGGTGCTGTAGTAATATCCCTACCTCTTGGCCAGGAGATCAGGGTTCAAACCCCACCTACTCCAAAGGTTTCTTAAGACAATCTGAACAGATTTGTCTTTTAAATTAAACCTACAAGATGAAGCTAGGATTACTCTCGTGAGAGTAGAGAAGTGTTCTAGAGTATCAAGGTGGGAAGATTTTTATTTATATCGCACCTTTAGCGAGCTCAGAATGTCACACAGCAGTTTGCAGGTTTTGTTATAGTAAAGGAGAAGTAGTTGTCAGTGGAAATATCCAGAGGTAACAGATTCAAGATGACTGGAAAAAGGGCAATGTTTTAAAAAGCAGCACGTTGTTATAAACTAGACCTTGTTTGACTCAGAAGTGAAAGCAGATTCAACAATGATGTTGAAAAGATTGAAGCGAAAGTATGAGCAAGGCAGTGGGGAAAGATCATTGAGCAGGATTGATAGGATAGATTTTTTTAGAGAGCTTATACAGGCCTAATGGGCTGAATGGCCTCCTCCTGTGCTTTGCTGTTATCCATATCCAATAAATCTCAGAACTGTCTGTCCTTCAGATCCAACAAACTCTGCTGGAAAATGTGCATTGACCAAAAGACAAGTTGTTCACTTTTAAGACCTTAACCCACTGGACCGAACAAACGATTTTAATTTCTCCTGGGCAAATGGGAAACCACGTTCCCTAGGCCTAGAATTCCGTGCAAGAGAATGTGATGAATTCTGGAGTTTGCACAACCAGAAATGGGAAGGGCTTGGCCAGGCTGTTTTCACCCTTCTGTTATCCTGAGGATCAGGGTTAGAGGTCACACACACAACCTCAATATGAGGAACGGGGCTGGATTTTTTTTTTTTTTTTTTTTTTTTTGTTGCATTTTTATAGCCAACCCAATGCCTGCTGTTTTCATTAAGTTGTGCAGAAAGTTGGAAGTGGCGGGGCAGGTTGAGAAAACAGTTTAAAAAGGCTTATAGGTCCCTGGGCTTTCTTTTTAAAACTAATTCACAGGATGTGGTGACACTGACCAGCTGGCTTTTATTGCCTTTTACTCATTACCCAGAGGGTGGTGGAGAGTCAGCCATATCACTATACGTCTGGACTCCCATGTCAGCCAGACCAGGTAAGGATGGCAGATTTCCTTCCCTAAAGGGGCAGTCTCCATTAGCTTTCTATCTCACAATCTCTCTCTGTCTTTCTCTCTTTCTTCCCCCACCTCTGCTCCTCCTCCTCCAGATTTTAATTGAATTCAAATATCACCATCTGGTGGAATTTTATCCCATGTCCTCTAGGGCTTCAAGATAATCATCCAGTGACATGACCAGACCTTTTCCCATTTCAGTTCATGATCAAAGATACAGAGAAATGTAAAGATGAGAACTTTACACAGGGAAAAGATGAGAGAGTTGAACTAGCTACGTTGCTCTTGTAGAGAGCCAGCTCAGTCAAGATGAGTCAAATAGCTTCCATTGGTGCGGTAACCAATCAGTGGTGAGAGTCTTCACTCTACAAGCATAGCATAGCTATGAAGTGACTTCGCTTTGCAGCAAGCCTACAGCTATCCACCAGCAATGGTCTGATCCCAACCTAACGGCAGGATTGAGTGAGTGAGATTCCCTGGCAAGGGTAATCTTGCTCCCATTTCATAATGGAGCAATTCAAACTGAAAGCTGGACTCCATTGTGGGGAGAAATGCACACTCGGGTGGTAAGATTTCTTTCCTTATCTGAAGTTATTGAGACAGCTTCCACTAAAAAATGTGCATCTTCATTAAGATATTTTGTGTTGTATTTTTAGTCTCATTGACATGTTGAAAGTTTTGCTATTGTGTCCCATCAGTATTCAGCGTTGCCCAATTCTATCTTAGAAAATAAAATCAAAAGCTTACTTCCTGGAATCTTTGAGCTTCAAAGGAGAACATAAATTCTTAAAGCTGGTGAAAATAGAACAAGGACAAGGATAATCTATTAAAGAAAAACATGCCGAGATGTAATTGGCTTGCGCTTAACTGAACAGAGTGTAAATGGAATCACACTGACAGCTCGGAAACACAATGAGTCATGATTTGATTTGTGTCCTTATTGCATTTTTATTGTGTTAGTTTGGTGATCATTAGTTATTAAAACAGGGCCATTGATGTTTTACAAAACTTTAACTTTAGAAATGGGTTTTTTGCCTTCTGTGCATGATTGAACAACTGTTCGAAAGAGGATGATTTATTTGTTAAGTCACAGGGAATACAGCAATCAATGTCATCATAAATGTGAACATGGTGCAATATGAGAGCACATCTTCTAGATAGTATGAAGTTAAATAGAGTGATGTTTAAAGAGACTTGGGATCTTTAAAATGCCACAAATAGGTTCAACAAATAATCAGGAAGACTAATGGAATGCTGGCCTTTATACCTAGAGGACTGGAATACAAGGATGAGGAAGATATAGGCAAAATTAGGCCATTCAGCCCATCAAGTCTGCTCCGCCATTTGATAGTAGCTGATAAGTGTCTCAAACCCATTCTCCTGCCTTCTCCCCATAACCCTTGACCACCTTATTAATCTACAATGTACCTATCTGTTTTAAATACACTCAATAACTGGGCCTCCACAGCCTTCTGCAGCAGAGTTCCAAGGATTAATCACCCTCTGGCTGAAGAAATTCCTCCTTATCTAAGCTCTAAAGGGTCGTCCTTTCACTCTGAGGCTGTGCCCCCTGGTCCTAGCCTCTCCTATGAGTGGAAACCTCTTCTCCATGTCCACTCAATCCAGGCATCTCAGTATCCTTAAAGTTTCAATCAGATCCTTCACTCATCATTCTAGACTCCATCGAGTACAGACCAAGAGTCCTGAACTCCTCCTCATATGTCAAGCCCTTCAGCCCCCGGATTATTCTAGTAAACCTCCTCCAATGCCAGCACGTCTCTCCTTAGATACGGGGCTCACAGTCATACCAAATCCTGGTTAGACCCCACTTGGAGTACAGTGAGCTAATCTAGCCACCACACCTTAGGAAGGATATATTGGCCTTGGTTTACAAGAATGATATCTGGACTTTAGGGGTTAGATTATGAGGAGAGATTACACAAATTAGGCCTGATTTCTCTAGAATTTAAAAGGTTAAGGAATAATCTCGTCAAAGTCTTCAAGATATTAGCAGGAAACAACAGGGTTGATAAAAAGAAACTATTCCCACTGGTTGGAGATTATAGAACTAGCTGGCATAGTCTGAGAATTAGGGCCAGACCATTCGAGTGAGATGTTAGGAAGCACTTCTGCGCACAAAGGCTGTTAGAGCCTTGCAACTCTCTTCTATAAGTGGCTGTTGATGGTGATGTTACTTTTAAATCTGTGATAGATAAATTTTGTTAAGCAAAGGTATTAAGGGATATGGGCGAAAGGCAGATGTACGGGGTTAGACCACAAATCAGCCGTGATGCATTGAATGGCAGAACAGGCTAGAGGGGCTGAATGGCCCTATGTTCTGAGGAGCAGAAGTACACAGCCCCTTGAGCCTGCTCTGCCATTCTACCCTGTCAAACTCTAGATGAATTTTGTATACATTGATTTTTGATTAAGTAAGCCACACGGACAGAGCTTTAAAACATATTTGCTGGGTGAAGAGGAGATTGATCCTGTTGCTAAATACACAGTTCAGTGTGGAGCAAAGGCATTCTTTAACCACCATGTTCAGCATTAAGCTAACTGAAGCCAACCAGGGCTCAAATAGGTAGTATCAGAGAATCCTTACAGTTTGGGAGCAGGCCATTCAGCCCATTGGGTCCACACTGTCCCTCCAAACAGCATCCCACCCAGACTGACTCCCCTAGCCTATCCCTGTAACCCTGCATTTCCCATAACCAAGCACCTAACTTGCACATCTTTGGACTGCGGGGGGAAACCAGAGCACCCGGAGGAAACCCACACAGACGCAGGGAGAATGTGCAAACTCCACACAGACAGTCGCCCGAGGGTGGAATCGATCCCGTGTCCCTGGTGCTGTGAGGCAGTAGTGCTAACCACTGAGCCACCGTGCCACCCTCATGAGGTACTCTCATGTTGGCACTAGTCAGAGATGGAAAGTAAAGCAGAGTGCTTGGTCAGTATTGAATATCCTGCTGTTGGAAAGTGTATAATCATGGATCTCTGAGGACTGGTTCCAACGAAGACTGGGTCAAATATCAAAGCTGAGGCCTATGACCCATGGGCTATTGGCAAGTGTCATGATTAGTAGCAGTGAAAGTGTCCTTGAACATCATTGAGAGTTTTCAGAAGAGAGGAGACAGACAGTTTGGAAGGTGTGTAACTTGCCTGCTCTCTTTCGATGGATTGACCAATATTTTTGGAGGCTCACAGTGATATTTTTGATTCTGTTACCAGGTTTGCCAGGTTAGTGCTCAGCAACCTGTGCAGTCTGAGCTGATGCTCCGATATCAGCAGCTGCAATCCCGACTGACCACCCTGAAAATTGAAAATGAGGAGGTAGGTTATTGCGGTACATTGGTGGTAACAGCGAGGCATTTCACTGCATTTTGACTTTTGTGTCCCTTCGTAAACTGAATCCAACAGTGAGTACTGAAATTCCCCTTCATCTGTCTGTTCGTGTGGAAAAAGCTACTGCTTAAAAAAAAGTGAGGATACTATTCGGAATTCTTCCAGCATGTTTTGCAATCTCAACCTAATGGAAGACATCTGGGGAAATGGCCCAAGATCTGTTGTGAATAGGGCTGTGATTTTCTGATTGTTGCCAATTTTAGCAAAGGAAGTTGACTCTTGTATGGAACATCTTCTGAAAATTTATGAACAATGGGTTGTACATTGTTGAATTGTGTGGATTCTGAGTGTGTTGGTTCTGCTTGGAATTCTAAGTTATCATTTGGACCCTCATTTTCCAGATGTCTTCTGTTAAAGCTATGATTTGCAAATACACACACGGGACTCAGAGTTCCAAACTGTCGGAAAAGTCTGCATTCAAACTTTCTGACCTCCCTCAATTTTCATTGCCCGAATGGTGCTCCAGCTGTAATACTTTTACAGTATTTTAAACTAAACTGTCATTTTCTGACGATCGCTCATTCTCTCTCTCTCTCTCTCTCTCTCTCTCTCTCTCTCTCTCTCTCTCTCTCTCTCTCTCTCTCTCTCTTTTTCTCTCCCCTCCATCTCCCTCCCACCCTCCCTCCCTCCCTCCCTCTCTCTCTCTCTCTCTCTCTCCCCCTCCATCTCT